GATGGAGCCTCGGGAAAAGGTCTCAATAATAAATTTTTCGTGAGCCCGCTCCGTTATCCCGCCATCCCGGCAGCTAGGCCAGGTACGTTTTACGGCCGCGCGCCGGGAAATAAACGAAAAATAAAATAAAAGTCAAAATGCTCCCGAATAAAACTATTTACCCTCTCGATCTCGCGCGTGAGTTATAAAAAGGAACTATTCATAATTGAAAATTGCGACTTGCATTAAGCGACTTGTCACATTTTAGTTAACAACGAACTGCGCTTCTCGAAATAAAGCTAAATTACATTTTATTGGCGTAATTGTTGATTCGATGATACGGCGCGACCTTCGCCTTCAAACAGCGGTGTAGATGATCTCATAATATATCGTCTAATTTGCCGGAATGGAAAACAAACAAAGCCATCTCGTGCGCCGCGTTCTTTATTTTATACATATGAAGGGAAAGGACTCAGAGTCTTACGCTTTAATAAATATGAAACTGAAGGCGACCCTAATCGTGGAGCGAAATGGCAACAATACACACAGGCGCGGTATGAAATTGTTGAGAAAGCAAACACATTAAAGGGTGGCGGGCAAACAGAGCCTAATGATTACCTATATGTTGACTTTGTAACAAAAAATAGATACATATTTTGGCAGGCTCGTTGCTGTTGTGGTAACAATGTATGGCTAATAATCAACGAGTACTGGGTTCCACATCGGGTCCAACATTTATCTAATCAAAAGCTGTCTATAGTTTACACGAGTAGTACACATTTAAATAAAACACTTTAACGGTTTAAAATGCGATATATGAGGTAAACTTATTTGATTGAATGATTTTTAACGTTTGAAAATATTAATATTTTTTACATGTTATTGCACATGAAGGCACTATATAATTTAAAAATCGTTAATAAATTGAAAAAATTTTTGACTCGGGCAGGACTTGAACCGGTTTCGTCAGCGTTCCGTCCTGTTGCTCTACCAATTGAGCTACCGAATCCTACACCTCTTCGTCGAATTTTTTCAACTTATTGATACATGCACCTCTCGCGCAATGTAATTTCAACCTTAACACTTGCACTCGGTAGCTTAATTGGTAGAGCAACAGCACAGAACGCTGACGATTCAAGTCCTGCCCGAGTCGAAATTTTTTTCAATTTATTTTAGATTTTTTAATGATTTTTAACTTCGGCCCAACGTTTCGGATACTTTGCAGCAGCCGTAGTCACGGGGAAACGTCGGGCCGAAGTTAAAATCATTTTCAAATAAGTTTAACTAATATATCGCGTTTAAACCGTTAAAGAGTTTTATTTAAATAATCAAAAGCTATTTAAATTCCGTCCGGTCCTACAAATGAAAAAGCAATGAAGTTTAATCGCTTTTCGGTTTCAATCCGTGGATGTCCGAATATCCAAAACCAAAAAAGGTCTACAGCACATCTTGTTAATATAGCTGGGTTATTTCATTTACCATCAACGGAGCCCCATGTCTACCATAGAAAAAAAACAAATTTCACGTTAATAAATGAGACCAATTTCAGGGCTTTGTTAAAGAGAACGGGATACGCTTATCTGACGGCACACCTTTTGTGCCGCTATTGACCTAATTCGAGTGTCACTCGACCGCGTCTATGGCGAACTTAGCTTTCGATAGATAAAAAACACGTTTGTTATGACATCCGAATGTTTACGGTCCATGTATGCAGAGACCTAGGTCATCTGAACGATAACCGATGCTCATAATATGGGAGACTTATGAACCACTGCAATCCTAACCATAACTTCTATTTATGTATAACTAAATCGTAAGTAAGGTAAGATATAACTTTGTAGCTTTTTTTTTGATGGACCAAATAAATATAATCTTAACTTAGACGATAATATCGCTAATAGTTGCCTGTAGTTCATACACATTTAATGGTTTAAAACTCGTAATATATTACTTAACATTTTCAAAATTAAATTATCTACGGCCTGACGTAACCGTGCATAGCTGCTGTAAAACATATTAAACGCATATACTACGCGTTTTGCACCGTTAAATGAGTTTTATTTAATAGTGTAACACCTCACTCGTCGTGAAAACTTTAAAAATTAAAACACTTAACACCCCATGCTAATTTAATCAGTAATAAAAGCTTTCTGTGCTTTTTTCACGTTTTATATTATTACGAGTACATTTAAGCTCGTAAGTTGTACAAGGTCGATTGCCCCACGCGATACAGTGCGGGGTCAAAAATAGAGCAAGTCGTACCTGCCGCCGCCCCACTCTCAATGTCAATATTCAATCACGAAGGGAAGAAGGCATCGCCCGAACAGCTTAAATCTGTCCCATTTTATTGTTTTAATTTACACGAGCCATACTTTGCGATAAGTATCTTTAACTGTTTAGTCGCGTTTAAAACAGGACTATTACGTAGACATCGCTGTCTGTATGTTGCACGGCTGTATAATAAAATCCTTAAGGGAGCCACGACTAACAGATGAGTTTTGTCGATTTCACAATGTACGGAACACTCTGAGCGCGGGTCCGACTTACACTTGGCCAGATTTTTTGTAAAGTCGTGACAAACAGAACATCTGCGTCCGATCTCACTATACTATGTCGCTCGTGTTTTCAAACTCACATCGTCATTCGAGCTTTGATATTTAATATTTCAAAGCTACAGTGTGGAACAATGAAAAATCGGTTTGAAATTTAAATAAGGTGTTTAGAAAAGTTGTAATTCCTCTTTTCATAGGATAAACTGGGGAAAAATAAAACTTTTATTACTTTTTGCTTTCAACCTTTTTACCCTCTTTGTTTACATAGCTGCGAGCAAAGCCTCTCCGTGCCAACAGTCGCTTTGTCAAGCGTCGAGTGACATTAGCTCGACCCACTGTCAGATAATTTGGAAACCAAATAAAATAATGCTCTGCTCTACCTAACATTGCTCTCAGTCCTAAAAAGTTAGCAGTGTATTCCAATAAGTACTATGAAACCGCAAATTGCTCAAGCGCACTTTTTTATATAACATTATAATACAAACATTTATATAACTCATTATCAACTCGCAGAGAATATTTTTGTAATAATGTTGTAGTGTTAACTTTCAGGTTTAAGTTCCTTACTTACTTATTCTTAAAAATGTATCTCTGAAACGTGTAGAATCACATTGTTTTATTATTCATTTATTTATTTTTTATTTACGTGAAGGGCATGAAAACCGTGCAACGGTTTTTTACACAGCTTACCTAATATAAAAACATAAATATAGGACCAAAATCACGAACTTATTACGTAATCGTCTTTATTTATTAAATTTCACACAATATTTAAAGAACTAGAGTAGACACTGATAAAATTATTACTGTCTACGTTAGCTTCGATGACAATAAAAATTATAAGTATGATTTCAAGACTCGCTTATTAATATAAGCCTTTGTTTGGACAAGCCCTTCTAGATTTGCCATTGACACGCCCATTAAAAACAAGTCAGCGGGATAGAGTTAAGGCTGTAAAGTTTATTAATGGCTCGATTACAGGCTTAACCCGAGGTGCAAAGAAGTACTATCAATCAGTCAGGTGTAGGAAGTATAACCCTTACGCTAATAACAAAATTCCGACGACCCTGTTTGTTCTCCAGACAGGGGTGAAGATGAATATTCCAGAGGTACGCCTCGGTTCAATTGTTTTTACTGTGAATAAACGAATTGATGTTATTCAGTTCCGAATTCAAATTTTTACCAACAACATGGAAAGAGTCGACTTTAGTTTTTCCATTAAAAACATTTTCATATTCATTTATTGGTGTCCACAATTCAAGATTCGCGTAGATCAATGTTTAATTTGAGTGAAGAAAATATTCGAATGCAGAGCGAAGATAGTCAAAAGCACAGAGGTAGTAGAGCGCGGCTTGCCACTGTCCAAATGGCTCAATTACACTTAATTCGCAACGCACACAAAACGGGGTGAGTTGCATGCATGTAGAGTCTACATTAATGTATGTAAATGCATGCGACCGGCCGCGGCCGCCCGCCGACGCTCACAATATTGCGACATTAAATGGAATATGGCTGACGAGACGGACATTTTCGACAAAAGTCGACATTTGCAAACGCTGTTCGTCCATTCATGTGCACTTTGCGTTGTCTACAGAAGAATAATGTTAGACCAGAATAATGGAATTTTATTATAATACAATTTTTAGGCTAAGTAAGGGTTTAGTATGTTACTATATAAACTTAAGGCGTATATATAAATTATAATCATTATATTACTTAATCATCTGGAAGAAAAGTAGTTTAATTGTATGTATGTAGTTATATGGTGACGTCATTATAAGTTATTTGTGAAAAAGATTTCTTAAAAAAAAATTAACTACAATTTTTTACATATTTTTATACAACGTTTATTTTTAAATAGGTAATTTATCTGAACCAGACTTTTTTTAAAAAAATTTTTTTTCTTGCTTTATATTAACTACTTTTAACTTTGTTTTAATTAAAAATACATGATTTTCACTAACTATATAAACTCCTTACCTACCGCAATATTAAGCGTTTCATTACATGGTACATACTGAAAACTGCAATATTGTGATTTGCGACGACTAGCGCCCCCTATGGGACTCTTGGACAATAGCATTGTTCTATCAAGCGGGCATTGTCATGGTGATTCATTCGATATCAACATTAAACCCTACTGCAATATTGTCAAGAAATATAACTAAACGCTGTTTTAATTGGAACATGTGCGTGCAAACATTATTGGAATTGAGGTCATTCACAGTATAATTTCATAAACAAATGCATTAACACTGTTCATGCGAACCTTAATAATTTAATGTACAAAGACGGTAATACAAGACACCTTGAACTAGCCATTTAAGCAATGACAATTCAATGTAGACGTTTCAAACGCATTCTGACATAAATATCAACATTACAACACAGTTAAATCAGAAAGTGTACGAAATACGTCATGTCTGAGAGGTTATGTCCACGACAAACAAAAAATACAGAGGCGTTTACCTTGTTTTATCTTCTATTTTTCTGCAAGCATCACAATAATATTACACAATATTGTCCACTAAAAGGTTCTAAATAAACTTTATTCAAAAAATTGGTAAACATCACATAACTAACAAAATAAAACGGAAAACATTGAAAGCGGGCAAGAAGCGCGATACGAAACAGCAAGCTAAGCAGCAGCTGACTACGAGCGCATGCTCGTTGTAACCTTGGACGAGCGCACGGTTTTTAATTATTACCAAGTAAACTTATTCGCATTTAATTTTAGTTTCCTAAAGTGCACAATTATAACATGTATATATATACTGTGTTTTATGAAGACATTAATTTTGAAAATTATGCTCTAAATTTTTTACTTTTTTTCATCTCATCTTACTAGTAGAGTATAATAACAATGTAACGTTGCTTGTATCCTTTATATTTTACAATTCGTAAAACAAAATTCTACGTTTTGACGCTCCTTTTATTGTGCGGTTAAATGTGGACGTCGGTACAAAGTTGAACACGCAGCTGCGCAACGTGGAGGAGTGGAGTGGGTGCGCACTGGCGTAGACCGAGTCGCCCTCTAGCGGGCATATTGTGAATTATCGATTCTCAGCGTGCCGCGCTATCCGCCATTGGCTTGGTTCTGCTCAGTAATTGGTTTATGTAGCTCGTTCGCAACATGAATTCAAATTTAGCGCGCGCTGGAGCCCTCGAATGAACAAAGCAGAGTGTTTGTACAGGGAAAATTACTCGTTCCAGATAATAAAATCTAGTAAAATACTATTTGAACTTTAATTCAGTCTGTTCAATGTTTACGTAAATAAAAGATGCTCTTCAAGAGTACTTTGTTATAATATTAACAAATGGGCAGATGCATATTTTTTTAACTCTCAGAACTTAAAGTTTAATAAAAATTGTGTTTTGTTCTGAAGTAATAAATTGATAACTGAGTACTTACTCTTTATTGGATACATATTTTAGAGCATAAAATTCAGAGTCAAATTTATTTCGATTATGAATTATGCGTCGTTTGTAATGCAAGTCTTAATTACATCCCTATTTGCATCATTAAATTATTTTGTATATGTACCTACATAATAATATGTAAGGCCAGGTTGATTTGTTTCGAGCGTCGCCTCGCTTCAGTGCTAAATTGAGAGGGAGGTGGGGGACTGATATTTATGCACGTTAATAAGAAGCCAAGCTGCAGACAAAGCCTACTGTGCTGCTTACTGAGAAAATCAGAACATTATTGTTAGTAAATACTGTCTATAGTTTACGCGAGTAGTACACATTTAAATAAAACACTTAAAAAAACAAGTTAAAGTTTTTTATATATATTTAAATAACTTGTTAAATATCTTTCTGTACACGTATTTCTACAAATGATTTTTTAGTTTAATTTGTTGTATGATATAATTGTTGTATAATAGTCACTTATTAGTTAATTTATTAATATGTCTTATTTTTTAATATTATAAAGATATCTAAATTATACTTTAACGGCTTTTTGAATCTAAATATTTGTTTACAAACAATTATATACATATAGGTTTTCACACTTCTGTGCTCGAACAAAATAATTTATTGTTTCCCTCAAGATTCGAACCCAGTACCTCTTGTGCGTAATACAATGCTAGATAATACGCTTAACCGATTAGCTAAGAAGACGGTCAAATAGTAATAACGCATATAATTTAAATAAAACACTTTGACGGTTTAAAACGCGATATATTAGTTAAACTTATTTGAAACTGATTTTTAACTTCGGCCCGACGTTTCGGATGCTTTGCAGCAGCCGTGGTCACAGGGAGACTGTATTTAAATGTGTACTACTAAAACTATAGACAGTATACAACGCATATAAGACACTTTTATCAAAATAAGTTGTAGCAATTTTAAAAATATTTTCTTTCAAGTATTACGCATAAAGCGGACTAAATCGCGTGTCAAAGCAAGTATTGTAATACTTAGAAGTGGATTGAGACAGTTTCACTAGAAAGCAAGTCTCTACAAAACCTGGGATGATAGCTTGGGGACAGATCTGCAATCAGATAACAATGTCTGCTTCGCTTTACCGATTTAAAGGAAAACGTGGGTGGTTTCTTTTTATTTTAGCTTTTAGATCAATGACAGTAAATAAAGTGATACAAATACCTCTTACAATTTCTCAGATCAGACCGGAATGTGTAACATTATTATCCCTATTTTTATATTTAAAAATAAGTTGATATCAATTGATTTTAGTTTAATGAAAGTTGTTGCAGAAGAAATCGGTTATTAATTTACTTATTAAAGATAAGCACTTATAAATGCATCTACAGATTACACAAAACTTTGTTAAAATATGTTTTTCAATGTTGTAATATTTCTTTTCCACCGATTTTATAATATGCAACTATGTACAGTGTGTTTTAAAATACCTATACAGTAATAGTTAGAAACAAAATCGTAATAAGACTAGGCTTTGTGTAGGTAATTTTAAATTCTTTCAATATTCGTAAAGTAGAAAAGTTTAGCTCGCACGACGTGTGCCGAACGCGGGCTGCATGCGAATACGGGTCAACCCCTCAAGCTCAACTTTAGAATTTTCATTTCAATAATGCGCTTTCGTTATGTCGGATATCTTTTTTATTACCTTTTACATTGTACATTTTTTCTAGAATAACATTTTTAATCTGTGAATGGGCCTTCTTACTAAAACCTGGGAGTCTGCTCGTTTTATTATTTTCAAAAACTTACTTAAATTAATGAAATGTCCATGGAAATAGCTTGTAAAAGAACCTATAAGTTTTTAGGCCATAAACATCTACTATATAATTTATTTTAGATAATTTAAATTAAAAATCCAAAGACTTGAACCGGCATTCACAGCGTTTCGTGCTGTTGCTCTAACCGATTGAGCGACGGAATCAGTCAGACGGAGTACAGTGTTAAATAAATAATCTGGCGAATGATTACTAATAATATATTTCAGTTTCTTCGTTATATTTTAGACCTGTATGTTGTAGAAGTAAGTTTAAGATAAGCTCAATATAGACAGTGTTGAAACATAAAAACGTGCAAAAGCTAAAAGCTCTAGATTCTAGACGGCTATGATCTCTGTTCCGACTTCGAAATAAACCTGAAAGCTGCAAGCACAGTTTTGATGCAGTGTATTTGAACAAGAGCAAATGAGATGAGTGCTAGTAAATTCTGGTAGCGGGTTGGTGTGAATTTTGTACAGAGCATAGCGTTATGCCGCGCACGTATCCGTTGTCTGCACGCGGTAGCGGCGCGGGCGCTGTCGGCCGCTATCACTAACGCCTGAAACTCATATATTATTAAAGGCTAGCCGTACTATGTACTCACCGCCGCACGTGAATGTACCTCTAAGTGTTTCTCTTTATGACAAATCGATTCCGATACATAGAGCACCTCGAAACAGGAAACATTTAATCCGAAAAGCAATCTCGCAAGAGGAAGATTCCGTGCATATTTATTGCCGGTCTCTAAACCGTTTCTCTGGTAATTCGGTGGAAGCAGAGCGACATTATTTTTGTAGTAATTTCAGCGAATGTCCTTTAAAATATTCAGAGAGCCATAGCCGTGGCCATTAACGTGCCCGGGCGCAATTCGGAGCGGGCCTCGTCCACAAATGGCGGTGATATCATTAACTTGACCCCCGCAACTATCCGGCGCCCCGCAACTTTTTCCCGATATTACACGGGAGAGTTATTCGCGGAGGTCCGTTTTGCAATTATTACTAAGTGTATTAGTAGCCGGGTTCAAATGTACGTATATTAAATACGTCCTTAGCTACGATAAAACAGCATTAAGACGTCATAATTCTCGACGTAAGGGAGTTTTATTATGTAGAACACTCATGATGTCGCGTTGTCATAAAATATACCGTCTTTGCTGAGTATGACTCTCACTAATAAAAATTATGCCTTTGCTATTTGTATGATAGAGGAAGACATATAAGCGTGGGGTTACTCGATGGTAGGTGATACCTTCGATGGTAGTCAAAGACCTAGTTGTTACAAAATTACCTTACTATTTATACTATGCATAAGAGAAGAAAAAGTGCCGTAACACGTTACATAATGAAACAGTATACGGTGGAAGCAACAAATAAAAAAATATGTTCTTTGTAGATCTGAAGTTGAAAACTCGTAGTGCCCCTGAAAACGTTATTTTTATTCCAAGCTAATGATTTACAGAGCTTTGCCTTGTCTTATTACGTTAGTTAATAGTGTAGACGATATAACTTCTTGGTCAGAAATGGAAGTAAAAAAGCGAAGGCTCCCGTGCTTCGCGTAATAAGAATTTGTTTCTTTTAGCAAACTACCGCATTTTAATTTGAAATAATGGTATATTTCAAGGCTTTCCACTTAAGCCTTTATGCAATTATATTTTCCTTTTGCATAGCGGCGTTTTTAACGAAGAAAGACTGTGTGATTGCTGTCGTATACTTCGAAAAAGCTTTCTCATTAAAATAACCATAGTAAAAATACTTGAAAAATTCTTGTTACAATATGATTATTACAGTAACATTTATTTTACCTTACTAAAGGCTGCCGTTCTAAAAATTAAAAATCCATGTCAGAGGTGCATGTATCTATAGGTTGATAAAATCTGATGGATGACAACAGCACGGAACGCAGTGGATGCTGGGTCGAGTTCTGTCCATATCGTAATTTTTTTTTTGATTTAATCGATTTATAATCAACAATCAATATTAATAATAAAATTACACTTTATAGGCTGTATATTTACATTATATAGTGTATTTCCGTCTCCTGTACTGCAAAGGAGAGATATATTAGTGTGTCCATTTCAATTATCAATTTGATTCGATGTTCGAGTACTTTATCACTTTTTTCCCGCTTCGAGTGCCACATTTAATGTTATTTCCCCGGAATTCGAACTCCTCTTATGCTTAAAGCAATATAAACCGAAAGTTTGACCACTGGGCCACAGAAACGATACCGCGTTACATAGAAGAATGGAAAAACTCTGCGGATCCTAAGACTCGCGTCTCAAGAAATAATATTCTTTAATCCCTAAGTTTGAGAACGTAATTGTTAGAGCAACATAAAGCGTGTAATACATTAGCGCTAGTAATTTAAAGTTAGTTGCGGGATCGCAAATAACCGTCGGGTTCGGACCACAACTTCGACCGCCCAAATTACAGACTGTCAACTTGACTAGAGTAACCTGTTGACGGACACTTTTGATGTTTCACTTCTGAAATTTCATCATACTAAGCTATGTCTTTTCTAATCCTGTTTTTGCAACGCTAACAATACACAATAGTTTAAGAATTAGATTAAGAGATATAGTAAGTTATAGAGGACTAGTAAATGAGATGTATAAAATGCTGTTAGTTTCAAGGCACACTAGAAATATTAATACATTTTTATAATTTCAACGAAATTCGTTGAAATTATAAATCTTTCAAATCTTTAATTTTGTTCGCTTGTAGGTTTTAAGCGAATTCCTTTAAGTGTGCATTAATTTCGTTCACGGATTTTTGAAGTAACAATGTTTTAATAAAACCATGAGACCGTCGGGCCGTAGTTAAATAAATTTTAAACCGTTAACAGTGTTTTATTTAAGTGTGTACTATTCGTGTGAACTATAGACAGTATATAACAATGATTTCTAGAATTAAAAGATGAAACGGTGACGATAAAATGATAAAAAAAGTACAGAATAATCGAAATTATAGTTATGTTAAAATGTATGTTAAATAAATAGTTAGGCCTAGTGTATATGGAAGTACTTAGCTCATGGGGAAAAAAGCGGCTACAAATAATCTCAGTTCGTCTGCAACACGAACTCGTTTCTGGAGGCCGTAGCATCCAGTATTGCGCCGCACCGGTTTAGTTTGAAATTTCATTCTTTCGGAACACATATCTCGACTTCGTCGGGGAATCTACTTTACATTTCTCATCCTAATGGCCATTGGGAGAAAATTGGAAAGGAAGTTTCGTGTTCGCATTCTTACTCTTAGGATCAATTCACGGGAAACATTTTAAAGTATCCTATCAGACTAGATAGAGGACGCGATGGAGGATGCGATTTATTTTTATGGATTAACTTGTTTTCGCGGGCCAGTAATGGGTGAAATTAATAAGAAGTTAAATCGAATTTACAGCACATTTTTATAATAGAGGAGGGGGGGGGGTAGACAAGCTTGGGGCTCACTCGATGGAAGGTGAAAAGTAACATAACATGACGCGCTGTCGACTTTTATTTTGACTGGCACGTTGGTGTAGTGGTAGCAATGCATGGCACTCAACGAATCGTAGGTTCGATCCCCACTGAGTCCATCTTTTTTATAATTCATTAATATTTCTTCTGAAACATATTGGTCTTCGTCTGAAAATCTGGATATTAAATTGGGAGAATTTCCTTGTCACAAACGAAACACAGATGAAAAAGTTGCTAAGTTTAAGCGTGTTTCGACTTCAGTCTGTGGATTTCCAAATATCTAAAGCCAAAGTATATCGACAGCGCGTCTTATTTAGAATCCATATGACTGCGGTATTTAGGTACCTACCATCCAGAAGCTGTCTGTCTCTCTCTATCATAAAAAATGCCTTTGGATATCATCATATTGGTGCATAACAAATAATTATGATTGCATAATTTTGTTAGTATGCATTGCAAGTGTCTAATCACTTGTAAACCGTAAGACTTTTTATTACCAAGACAATTTCATATCAAAATCAAAGTCAAAAATCATTTATTCATGTAGGTAACTATGTACACTTATGAACGTCACAAAATAATTAAAGCATCTAACTTTACACTTACTATCGTTTGCGAGTACACGGTTTTATATATTTTATTGATAAATGAACTTAAACTAATAAAAGATACACTACTAAAAGACTTCATACAGTGGATACAAAGGATTCTCCACTGTGATTTTTTATGTTGACGTCCATTGCATTAATGGAGGGAAAAACCTAACGATTTATAAAGAACAAACCGCAGCCCCAGGTGGAATAGAAAATGTCTATGCAATGTGTTCTAGGAATTCCGAAGGGGTGATCAAAGGGCCCATAATGTTTAGCCCTTAGCGAGGGTTCGTGCATCGATGATGCCGATGACCTCTATCGATTCTATATCTACCCACCTAATGGCAGATGACTTGGCGGAATGTGCTAAAAGCTCGCCTTACGTCAAAACAGGACAAGACTATTTGAAAAGCATCTAGCTTTGACATTTGTTATTGAGTTCATAAATGGAATTGAATTCTGAACTGATTTTAGAGAAAATATTTTCATTATTTGTAAATAGTAATATATGCAATAGTAAATATCCGAATTTCCAAAGCTACAACGCCAATCTAAAGCCAAAGCAAAATAGGTCGATAGCACATCTTGTTTATATGTTATATGCCTGGCGTATTTCATCTACCATCAAATGAACCTCGTGTTTATCTGTCCTCCATTTTAAAAAATAATAATATCTAAAATATTTATAGATATAAACATGTATATAGATAATGTAAAAACTAGTATCGGCAATAATATATCAGATATATCTTCTGTGATAATATCTTATTAATAAATATAAAACATAGCTGCTTAAGATATGTTAAGTTTAAAACTCCATTTTGTTTTTATCCTCATGATAATTGTGTGTTACAGTATTGAGTAAACAACTAATACATTATCGGTGAGACCGAATAAGGCTTCGACCCAATTCAGCGTGGCAACCCCCTCGTGTTTCTGTAAAAACAAAGCGAACTATCCGTTGTTTATTAGGGTAGGTTGAGGTCGATTGTTTCAAGAGTTTCAAGAACGGTTGGCTAGGGAGCGGGTGCGGTGCCTTCCGTTCGCGTCAGAGGATTCCAAGCACAGTACGCTCGCCTTAATTTACTGCGGTGTTAACCACGCAGCCCGCAGTTTGTATTCATTATCCACCTGGCCACCTCGCAGCGCGATTTAATACTACAGAATCTCCTCTCTAATTTAGCACTAATCAAATATTTACTTAATTGTAGAGATAATGTCCCAGCATCTAATGGCGCAGACGGTGCTTTAGGTACGGCGAATGCCCATAAAACGATACCATGACGTACCTTCCAGTTGTAATTTCAATTGCAGTGATGAAATTATAAGTACCTATAATATGACCCAAACAGTTGTAATTAAAATACACGTAAATCCGTTATAAACTCCTATATTAACTATAGTAACATCGTAAAGTCTCTCGGAGTGAATTTAATG